TTCATTGTAGTGCTTGCAATCCGGAGCCCAACACATAACCATGATGAATGCAGGATTAGTACTATTAACATCATTAAATAAAATTACTTTTATAATAAACTATATAAAGTGAGGTTATGTTAAATTTAGATAATATTAATATTTCAGTTATTACTACCAATTTGTCTTGCATGAATGCATTTATAGGCTAAATTAACTACACTCTTACCGTTTTCGATGTTTTTATCCTTTAAAATCTTCAAATGAGGTCAAAACAACACCTTCCTGTAAATTTGCCGTGTTAATCGCGCTTTGTTTGGATAACGAACCGCGACCTACCAGAACAAAATGGCTGGCGCTACGTCACACTAATGCAGCGTATAGGACCCAAAGGGAAACAAAATTAAATAACAAATACTGGTTTAATAATTATTAATAAGAATCATAAAACGTTTTTTTTTATATTTTTTACATTTCGTAATTGATGCGCGTTAGTTAATCTCCTCACACACTTCCCTTACTCTAGTGCACAATACCTTCCGGTTATTTGGGCGTGTCTTATAAACTTTGACTTAAAAAAGCCCCATAGAAAAAAATCAAGTGGGGTAAGATCCGGAGATCGGGGTGGCCAATGAATTAATGGACTGCTTCGACCTATCCAATGATTGGAGAAATTCTCGTTAAGCCACTCCCTGACTTGCCTCGCATTGTATATTGGACATCTATCCAACTGAAAATGTAGATTTACTCTTTCTTGTAATGGAAGATTATCGACTGTATTAAAAAATTCGTTCTGAAGGAAATGTAGAAATTGTTGGCCATTCGTATTCCCTTCAAAGAAGAACGGAACAATGACTCTCTCGTTAAGTATGCCACAGCAAACGTTAACTCTCTGACTATATTGTCTTCGGTAATTAATTATCCACTCTGGATTTTCTAAAACCCAACACCGCGAGTTCTGTAATGATACAATTACAGTCGTCGTGAATGAATGTGGCCTCATCGCTGAATAAGATATTTTTTGAAAAAATCGGTAAGTAATTGAAATATTGTCCCTGTGCCCAGAGACAAAACTCCATTCGTTTCTCATTATTGCCTGGTTCCAGAGTGTGAAGAAACTTAGGTTTATAAGGTTTTATGTTACTTTTTTTTAGGCAGCGTCGGATACTTTCTATGTAAATTTAAATCTAAACTAGCAATCCTGAAGCTATTCTGAGGATTGTTTGTAAAATAATTTAAAATTCCCTGCTCGTGAATACGTCTTCTCTGTTGATTGTCCCTTTTTAAAATGCATTTTGATACAGCACCATATTCCATAAAAGTATTGTTTATTTTAAAAACTGTGCTATGCGTAATATTAGGTCTATCTGGATGTCTGTTGTTAAATATTATACACACCTCTATCGCCATCCGATCATTTTCTCCAGAAAGGCGTAATATTTCAATTTTCTCATGTAAAGTTAATAGTCCACAGTACAGGCCCCCTCTGGAAAGTTGATTACCACATATTTTATAACTCCTGAGGCGCTTTGTTTTGACGAGTCTACCACATTTTTCCTCTGCGACTTTTCTCGATTCCTCCGCTTTTCCACTCGGAAAAGTCCAAAAACATGGCAATTTCCCGGGGTCTTGAAAACTCAAGACCACATCTTTTATTTTTAGCTTAAGTAACTGGAAATTTTGTTGCAAATGCCGATTTAAATTTGTCCGACAGAAATTCCTCCGACATTGACGTGTCTACCGGTCGAAACATGCCAAAATAACAGGGTATTGAAAATCAATTACCACATAGGTAATTTTTAGTAAAATTAATTGTAAATAATTAATTCAGTCAAAAAGTATTGTTGTCCGACAAATTTCAAGCCGCGTTTTTTCAGTCCGACAGCTGGAAATCGGAATTTTCACGGGGTATGAAAAATCGATTACCACATGTCGGACAAAAATAACACACGATAGAAAAGTGTTTTTTATAAGCAAAAATTGTAATGTCCGACAAAAATATATCCGCAAATCGTCAGTCCGACAAAAAATGATGAAAAAAATTTCGTAAAAAATGTGCACATGTATTTATAATTTCTAATAAGGTATTTTCATGTATTAAGCAAAATTCCATATAAATATACAATACAGGGTGTTTCAGAAAGACCTCCCGTAAATACAGGGGGTGAGGACGACAAAAAATAAGAATTTTTTGTCATATGAACTATATGTCTATCTCCTCTTCTCAAAGCTCAAGCTTACTTTGAGAAAAGTCACTTATTTTATAGTGTAATATTGTAAGAGTTTAATTAAAAGCCTTTTTTCTCGAAAATCGTCCACATTAGGAAGTTCTAACAAGAGTGCATTATTTTTAGAAAATAAAATTGTACAATAGAAATTAGAGCCCGACTGGTAAAAAACCTAACCTTAAAAAAAATATAACTTAAATTGTAATAAGAATGTAGCATAACTAGCGCTTTCTATGAAATATACAAAAAATAATTAGACTAGCGTATTTGGCACCCTTAAAAACCTCGGGCTACCAAATTTCATAAAAATATTTCGCACTATTTGGAAATTTTCATAAAAATGTTATTTAAAAAATTTTATTTTGTCTCTCTGTATCTCGAAAACAAGAGGAGATAGACATAGAGTTCATAAGACAAAAAATTCTCATTTTTTATCATACTATCACCCCCTTTATTTACGGGAGGTCTTTCTGAAACACCCTGTATATATTTTTCGTTTTATTCTTGTAATTGTAAATCTCTATATGCTCAATTTAGCCAAATAAATATCGAGAAAAGAATTAAACGATTTCAAAAAAGTATGTATGGTGTAAAAAAATTATGCACAAAAGTTTTGGGATTTTCTTTTAGAAAAATAGGAAAATTTTTGTAAAGAAAAATAACAAACGCGAATGAAAACTTGAAAGAGAAAAAAGGATTTTTATATCAAGTATAATATTAATTTATTTAGAAATAATGCATTATGCACTAAGATCGTATTAATCGCCTCAAAAATAACTTCATTTGTTTATAACTTTTAAATTTTTAAGCATAAAATAAGCAATATTATAATTATTTATTTGAAACAAATAATAATTTACATAATAATAATTAATAACCATTTATAAATATGAAATTTTTGGAGTGAAAAAATTAAATTTCATCACGTTTATTGATTTATTGATTTTTTAATAATTTGCGGACATTAAATCGTCGGACACTTATATCACTATTTTGTACAGTAAATTTAAAAGTGGAAAAAATGAAAATTAGATATGTGGTAATCGATTTTTCATACCCCGTGAAAATTCCGATTTCCAGCTGTCGGACTGAAAAAACGCGGCTTGAAATTTGTCGGACAACAATACTTTTTGACTGAATTAATTATTTACAATTAATTTTACTAAAAATTACCTATGTGGTAATTGATTTTCAATACCCTGTTATTTTGGCATGTTTCGACCGGTAGACACGTCAATGTCGGAGGAATTTCTGTCGGACAAATTTAAATCGGCATTTGCAACAAAATTTCCAGTTACTTAAGCTAAAAATAAAAGATGTGGTCTTGAGTTTTCAAGACCCCGGGAAATTGCCATGTTTTTGGACTTTTCTGAGTGGAAAAGCGGAGGAATCGAGAAAAGTCACGGAGGAAAAATGTGGTAGACTCGTCAAAACGAAGCTCCTCAGGAGTTATAAAGTATGTGGTAATCAACTTTCCAGGGGGGGCCCGTACTGTGGACTATAAACTTTGAGCCATCGCAAAGAATTATGGAACTTATTTAACCATGCACAAATAATATTACAATGTGCCACTACTTGTGAAGTTTGACATTTGTTGTCTAAACTTCAATTTTTCACAGCCTACCAAATTTTGTTCATATTATTTTTAAGCACGTTATTTTCTGGAATATCTCGTAATATTTTTTTCAGAAAATTCTTCACAAAGAATTGAATTATAGTTGTAGAATCCAGTGGCTTTTTGAATAAAAAAATTATAAATGTAATTATTTTTGTCTAAGAAGGTAATATTTGTAAGTTATTTTATATATACTAGTTTTTATGTTTCTTATTAATAATTATTAAACCAGTGTTTGTTATTTAATTTTGTTTCCCTTTGGGTTCTATTCGGTTTTTATAAAAGAATAGGATACCGATATTGTCAGAACTTTTTTAGAGGCAAACTTTTTTTCGCAAAAATTGGTACAAATGCACTTGAGGGGTTCCTAAATCCAGTGGTGTAGTCAAATTTTTTATAAAAAAAATCGCTAACAAAATTTTGCTATTTTTCACTTAAAAAAGAATTCGTAGTACTTAGGCCTTGAAAACCAAAATTTCGTCTTCAAATTTTGCATCAAGATAGAGCTTTTGGAGATCTATCTTTAAAAAAAAAAAACGGTCAAATCGGTCCATAAACAACTTTTGTACGCGAGTGTTTCCATTCTTAATGGGTCACCCTGTATAAGTTTTCAGCCACGAAAATTGAATAATTTCAAATATTTCGAATTTTCACCACCAAGAACTGCAGTGACAACATTTGTAACAGTAAGGCTATGTTTCGCATTGTATTAGCTATGTCCTGTCCAAATTTGGTTAGTGCAACCTTCTCGGCTTAGAAAATACAATACCTATGTATGTTTCCTGCGACGAAAACATAATTTTTCTGGGAAGTATACACTTGTCATTTTGTAATTATTGCAATTAAGGCAAATATTTCAAATAAACCTCGAATTATAATTGAAAATAACGCGCAGAAACGTGCTATCATACGCATTCGATTTATCATTTAGATTTACTAAGGCATATATTCACTTTGTGGATGGGTGCATTAGTAAATATCACATTCATGGAACCCCTGAGCCCTTTCTGTCACGTTTTGTATCGAATCCCATTAATCTTGATTTATCGAGATTTAAAAACAGAACATACTTTTGAAAAATCATACCCATCCAGAAACGGTGATTTCAATACACGTTTTACAAAATAATTTTATTAGACAAAAAAGTATGCCTAACCTAAAACAGTGTAAGTATTAAAGTATAAGGCATAAAATTGGTCCCTGAGGTACTCCTCTGGATAGCTTAAGACTATTTAAATACATGTTGTAAAAATATCACTTTATCGATGAAAATACGACTTTAACGATTCTTAAGCTAGCCTCAAGTTGCTTTCCGTTTCCGTTTGGCGCCCGTGGTGTTGTCTGGGGTAGGTTTCAGGCTACCAGCAGCTTGAAGTTTCGAATCGACCATTTGCTTCTGAAAACGAATAGTGTTATTCCTGATTCATATCAATTTTATAACGTAATAATTTAATATACCAGTGACTCATTTCTTCTAACTAACAACTTAACATCGTCCGCTGTTATGGTTGACCTTTTGGCATGTCTGGAATTTAAGAGGAAATATTATGTGTCAGTGCAATAATTATTGTAATAATGTGAAATGTCAACAAAACGCGTGAACTACTTATTTGACGTAAGCTTTTCTCTATTATACGGAGAACGCAGGCACCACGACCTTGAAGAGGGCGCTACAATCGTCTTTCGTCTGAAATGAGTAATCACTTAATTTTCATTTGATAGAGTTCAAAATAATTCAAATATTAACTATTAGTTAAAAGTATTATTAAGTTTTAAGTATTACTCAAAACTACATTTATTTATTTTCTGATTTCGCCAGTCTGTGAATGGAAGACAGTACAAAGGCATTTACTACGTTAATCAATAATTATATTTTTATATTAGGATACAACTCTCTAGCATTCCAATTGAATAAAAATGATGTCTGCTAACGTCATATTTAATATATATTTAAATAAAGATACATATTCCTTAAAAAGAAACTGCTAAAAATATACGTTCGTCGTCAACGTGATTTTTTATTGTTATGTTCAACGTTTGAGAATATAAAGCTAACTCAATTCTAAGATTAAAAAACACAAAAATAATAGGTCGACCTTTGTTTCGAAGTTACATTCCAATAAAGTCAATCAATCTAACAATACCAAGCCTGAATATTAATTTTAATTTATTTTCAAGCATTCCAGTATATTGTGTTAAAATAAAGATCGACATGTCACTTTATGTTTTCTAGTATCATGATTAAATTGACATTATGCTCGCAATATGTGGACATAACAATATGGAAACACATCATACACATTGCATTTATTTTGCAGATAATTTAGAAATAACATTTTTTCTTGCTGAAAAATTGTAATTCAGGTTTGCAGAAAGAGTAACTCACGTGTATTCCTGTGACGCTCCTACATCGCCCACTTATTAATTAACTTGACTTGATAACTGCAAATATATTATAACGAGGACAAAGAGAGGATTTCAAGTATACAAACATTCAATTGTCTTTATAACGAGCGTTCAAATAAAAACGTGGTCAAGTTGGTTCTGAAAATTTGGACGTAGGGCGTAGCGTAGAGCAAATGAACTTAAACGTCATCTGTCAAAGCGCTATATCGCCGCTATCAATTTGAATATTTTCGTTTTAAAAAGCGTTTAAAATGGTGTTTTCTCAAGAACAAAAAGTGTTTATCATAGAGTCCTACTTTAGAAATGGACGCAAGATTGATGGAATATGGAAGTATTCTATTGAGGAATGTTTCATAGAATTTCAAAATCAATTTCCCGGCGTTGTTGAGTACAAAATTTTTCAAAGTGCAGTTCAGCGTTGTGTTAATGTTTTTCGTGAAACGGGCAGTGTAACAAGAAAAGAAGGAAGCGGCCGACCTAAAAAGCGGACTGAAGAATTAAAAGAAAATGTCCAACAAATAATGGAAAATGCGCCAAGAACTTCTGTACGTGTTTTATCACAAATGGTGGGAGTATCAGTCGGTACCTGCCACACAGTGTTAAAAAAAGATTTGCGTTTGTTCTCCTATCGTTTAACTTGTCAGCAAGAACTTCATGAAGTTGATTTTCCGCGACGGGCTGTATTTTGTGAATGGTTTTTAAACAACTACGGTGAACTTCATAATATCACCTTTTTTTCTGATGAAGCCTGGTTTCATTTAAGTGGTTACGTAAACTCACAGAATATGAGAATGTGGTCTTCTGAAAAACCAGATAACTTTTTTGTCGAGGGCCCTCTACACGCTCAAAAAATTGGAGTTTGGTGTGCTCTCAATCGAAGGAGGATTTATGGACCTATTTTTTTTAATGGTACTCTTACTGCGCAAAGGTATAGAGAAGAAATTATCGCTCCTTTTGTTAACCAGCTGGAAGAAAACGAAATTACAAACTTTTACTTTCAACAAGATGGCGCAAGGGCACATACGGCAGGCGAGACGATGAATATGTTGAGGGAAGTTTTCCAAAATCGACTAATAAGTCTCAATGCTGAACATGAATTTCCACCGAGGTCATGTGATATTACGCCGTGTGATTTCTTTTTGTGGCCTTACCTTAAAAACACTATTTTTGAACTGCCTATTCCTGATTTAAACCATCTGCAGGCTCGACTTATAGACAAGATTCGTGAAATTAACAATACCCCGAGCATCTTAGAAAATGTCTTTAATTCTTTGAGGAACAGGTGTGAAAAGTGCTTGGAACAAGGAGGGGGACACTTTCAGCAGCTGCTTTAATTTATTGTTATAACAAGGAGGGGGACACTTTCCGCAGCTCCTTTAATTGTTTGTTATTGTTATCACGATTATTCTTTAAAATAAAGTTATATAGTCATTAACGTTATTGAAACTGACAGCTGCTATACAGCTCGTTGAGAAATGAGGTTAAGTTGGTCGCTATAAGCTACTCCCTACGTCCAATGTGTCAGAGCCAACTTCAACCACGTTTTTATTTGAACGCTCGTTATATTTCTTAAGAGTACAAGAGAATCTCCCAAAACTTTTGGTGATTATCTTATTATTTAGATATAAATATTATATATTAATTGTATGTAAAATTAGGCATATTATATTTAACATTTTAAGGGAGACTTAATTGAAAAAAGTGAGGGCGCCTCCTCCCCCATTGTACGTCCCACTGGCCACACAGGTACTTACTTCTGAAAAGCATCCAAGTCTATTCCATACCCAAGCAATTTCTGATACGTCATTTCTGCTATGAGATCTATGCCATCTGAGGCAATCTCCATATTGTGACTAGCAGCTACCTCTTTGGCAAGTTTGGTAGATGTGTTGTGTATTGTCTGCTTGATTTTCTGAAAAAAGTTGTGTCTCTTTTACTCTTACTCAAATTGAAGTAATACAATGTCAAGCTTTCGAAATCATGATCAGCATTAATCCACTAGATCTTATAACAATATTTGTTTTTTCTTTTTGTTTACTTGTTATATTTAAAAAGTCATACGTACAACACATTCTGGTGTACATGAATATAACACTAGGCACTGTGGAGCTCTTATTAATCTTCTCTAGGATCAATATAACTAGAAATAATAAACCCCAAATAGATTTATATAATAAATTGGTTCAATGTCTCTCAAATAATTTTATAATTTCATTAAAAATTTTTTTATGACGAAATGCTATTTTAGTACTGATGAGTTTATTTCTGATATGTGTTCTATTACTTGAAATGTACTGTTATGTATGTAAAAAAGTCAATAAAGTTTATTTATTTATTTTATTTTATTATTTTTATTTAAATATTTTACAGACCATTTCTTAAAGCGGCATATTAATGTATTGCAAAAATGAGAATAATGTATAATTTATATATTTTATTGAATAATAACTTAAAATTGATACCTATTTTGTACACATGTAAATTAAATTCAATAAATTCTTTCTAGGCATAAATATTGATGTAAATTATTTGTACAACTTGGATTAATATCAAAATAATGAAAACGTTGAATATAGAAGAAATAAGCGTTCATTATAGTTAAAAAATACTGATTATAAAAATTGTATATGCTTCATAAATAAGGCGTTCTTTTGCAACACTTGCAAAATTTCTAGATTTATCATAGTCCAGATGGTATGCCATTCGAGGCGTTTGTATTTGAAATGCATCTATTTTGTTGTACAGAAAAATCTCAAATATTATGTAGAATAAGACATACAGATAAAAAGAACGAAAAATTACCCGTTTTTCGACATATTTTTCCCTGTAACATTGAAAGTAAGCCCTAAATCAAGAAATTTCATTTTTTATTATTTTTTGACGACTTTCTTATTCTACATAATATTTGGGATTTTTCTGTACAACAAAGCCTACTTTTACTGCTCTAACGCCTGGACTATTCAACACTTACCAGCATTTAGTACAGCTATGTAAGAATTAAAATGGATTGTTTTTTTTTTTCATTATGATTTATAATGACCTTTTACACCCCTAGCTTTTAAGTACCCATTACAAATTTATTTATTATTAAACTATTAAACTGACAAAATTGCATTAAATACATTTCTGGCCATTGCTCCCATCTAGAAGGATATAATAGAACTAAAAACGTATGAGTGATTAGTTATTTGTTTTTGTTTTGTTTGCTTTCTGAATTTGAAATTTAAAATAATAAAAACGAATATTTTTATAGCAATTATTATAACCGAAAGATTTACATACTCTTTGAACGACGTAGGTAGTATTGAATTAGGTTTACTTACTTGCTCTGTCGACATGTTTATGGATATTTCCAAGAATTATGTCCAGTTTTGGTATAACAGGTCGAATACGTACAATATGGCAGTTGAAAAATTTAAAAGTATAACGAAATTACACAGAGTATCTCCAGACACGTACTTTGTATAACATAAAATAATAATTAACATTAACAAGTTACTGTTTGCTTCAGTTTAGGTTATGTTTTTCGGAACGCAGAAAGAAAACTCTATTAAATTCTTGATTTATTTAACTGAGTAGATCTACATTTACCTACAATTTTAAAATAGCTTAAGTCGCTTGCGTGTAGAGGGCAGCCTATGTAGTCAAATCCAACAAATTAGGTGTTGATTATTATTATTGTTTATTACATTTAGGTTTGTGATTACTTTTGTTACATTATTATAATGTTTCAAGTCACAAATTCCTGTTGCTTGTACCTTGTCGTTAAATCTGATGATATTGATTGTAGCGCCCTCTAGACAGCGATAGCCCAAGTTCACTTAAAACTGCAGAAATGATGTTTATACAAAGAAGGCTCTCTCTAAGATCGAACGCTTTAATTGAATTTTTCACCTAAGGTGTCCCGGAAAACAAATGCAGAAATGATGTTCATAGAAAGAAGGCACTCTCTAAGATCGAACGCTTTAGTTGGATTTTTCACCTACAGGTGTCGCGGTGAACAAATCAACTTTGAAGGACTAATAATAATTATGAAATTATTGACTGATGTTTGCATATTTGATCTAATTTCTCTATTTTTGAGAGCGAAGATGTAGTTTTGGTTGCATACGATGAAGACGAGTTTTGGTAAATAATATTAGTCGTATTTTTACAATAGAATTTGTAAGTATGGAATGAAAATGGAATGTAAAATATTTAATCATATATTTGTGAATAGTCTAAGATTCTCGGTAGCTTAATAAATTAATTTACATATTTAATAAACCTGAATATTTAACATATTGTTTTATTAGGTGTTTTTTATTGCAATATTTTCTATGTTATGTAGGTAATTGGTTTATATGCCACTTTTGTTGGTCAAAAAGAACATTAGTAGACTAAATTTTGAAATATTTAGAATTAACAACAGTTTATTGAGGAAATGTAATAAGATTTAATTTAATGTAAAAGGTTTTGCTAAAACCATTTTCATCGGCATTTAAATGATAGAAATTAAGTGAACATTTTTCTTTAAAAATTAAGGATTTACTATCTAACATATTTTATGAAGGAAAGGGAGACAAAAATAAAAGTTAGTATAAATTTTTTTATTAAAACTAACTGCAAATACAGAAACTTCAGTTCTTAACTTTTCTTCTTGAATATGACATGATGAGATTAAAATAACCATCCTCAATCAGTTTAGTTCAGTATAAAATTATTAATTAAACAAAAATAATTGACTAAGCCATAACATGTTTCACTTGATAGGTAGAAATAGGCAATTATTGGAATTTAACTACGATAGTTTCCACAGGAAAGCAACTGATAGTGGTTTAATAGATAATAAAATAAATGTAGGTAAGTACAAACTTTCTTTGAGCTTGAAGAAAATAGTACACGTTATAACAACAACATTTATTTATAAGATCGAATTAATATAATTACTATGGATCAGCATCACTCGAAATATAATCTGTCACACTAAGGGATTACCACATACGCAGCATATTTGTACTGTATATTACATTAAAGCTTGAGCTTGAGCTTGTCGATACAAAAATAATCACAGGACGCTCTGATATCACCAGGGTCTCCACATATCACTAGTACTTTCAGCATTGTTATCCTTTGAACCGGAAGGTTGATCCTCGTTCTTTTTCTCGTCACTGGGAACGCTATCTGAAGGATGCGTTGGTCTAGGAAAGTGAAAACTTGAAGACGAACTAGCATCACCTTCTCTCACAACACTTTTGGAAGGCTGATTGTAAAATTCGTTTTGTGTCACTGTTAGAAGGCCTAGTTGGTGAGACACTTCTTGAAATTTTCGTTTTATGCCACGTTGAACGATATTTTCCTCGTAGTTGGCAGAGTCTTCTTTCATTTGCGCCTGTTTGTACCTTTCGGATTGGTTGGTGATAATGCACAACGGTTCTACAATTTTTTTTGGAGAATCGCTTCGTTTCTCCTTGTCTGAGTACTTGTGTATGGGATACTTTAGAGTTTTCACTTCAACTGGCTGAGGAAACTGTTGCTTTTCCGAAGATACAGTGGAAGATATCTGAGGAACTTGATGATCTTCACTGTAACTCCTTTGACTGGCTGGGAGAACTGGCCGGAATCCGTGAGGGGATGGGTTTCTTGCTCGCACTTCTTCTTGGCTCACCGGACTTAGAGGAGGACTAAGCGGTTTAGGCACTAAACTTTCACTCGCTGCGGATTGTGGTATGACCGCGGCAAAAGCGCTTGGTCTTTGTTGAACGTTCTGAGTAACAGCTGTGGGGAAATAAGGCAGGTTACTCGAATTCGGTACTAACAAAGCTAGTTCCCCACTTGGTAACCTGCTGGGAATAAGCTGGATGCCCTGAGGGATCTGTATCCTAGGATTATTGTTCTGGTCCCCTGCTGTGCTCGACGATTCCACTTGCGCCTGGTTGGAAGAAAAAAGGCTGCTTCCGGAAATAATCGGGAGATTACTGAAACCCGGGAAGTTAAATTGAGCGACTTGTTCTATCCCCCCGATGCATTTCTGGAGGTGACTGGTGACCCTCTGTCTCATGGCGGTGTCTACCCCATCTGACTGGCTCATGTATCTGTCTATTTCAGTAGCGCATTCGTCGAATCCGTTTTTGAATTTTCTAAGGATAGATGGATCTGTAGCCATCGCGAGAGCTAAATGTTGACGCTGAACGTTTTGGAGGTGCTTCACTGCCATTTCCAGGATGTCTGCTTTTTCTAGCTTTGTGTGACGGGCGGGCTGGAAAACGGAAAAAAAATAAAACATCTACGCTAATAATAAAGAAAGACCTGCGTATACGTACATCCTTATTCATGGCTTCCAAAATCAGCGTCTTAATCTCGTTCAGGCAATGGTTGATCCTGGCTCTTCTCCTTTTTTCCATTATTGGTTTGTGGGTTTTCCTCAGTTCAGCTTTGGACATGTTTGATTGAGGTTCCTGGGATCTGTTATAGTCAAATTCGTCCTCACTAATTGGCATGTTCGTATTTTGCACCAGCAGGGTATCAAAACCTGAAACAAAAAATGCGTTCGAATACTGTTTCTTTTTTTTTTGGTGGACTATTTATTAATAACTTTTTAAATTTTAAGAAATATCAATATTCTATTTTATTTTGTAACGGTTCGCTACAATTACCTGCCCCAATAAATATAAATTATACTTTGAATTATCCGAGATCGTCCCAAATAAATGTATTTAGCAAATGAGATTAGAATAAGTAGGCTGTAAACATAAATTAGTTGTTGTCTATTAGGGTACATAAGCACAAACCGAGTAGGTAATGACCCGGATAAGTGTTAATTAGGATAGGATAATAAAAGTAGGTACCTGGGGACGAGGATAAAACCGAAAACATTTCAAGACACGAAGGAGAAATCTTGAAGCCTAGTTCCTGCTCGGTTGTGTCTCGTGTTACCAGCGAATAAAGTTTTCCATGTTACTTAGAGTTTTTCTCCTTACTTGAAGACCAAACCACTATAATTTGTATTAGCTAGATTATTATTAAAAAAACAAAAGTTTGGCCTATATTTCCCAATTGTTTCTTTATGTTTCTTTGAAACGGCAAGAAAATTTTTTAAAACTTTGGTCCTAGACAGAAAGGCAAAAAAGATAAGAGGTGTAAATTGTTGTGTGTAAAGAAACGTATAGGGAAAGTGTACAAGGATAAGTGTGTATTGTGTGCACTTTCCTGTAAGCTATACACTTATTTATTCTATAATAAATTAATACGATTTGATTCCAAATATTTGCCAGCATATAGCAACAAAATTAAAAAAGTTGTCCACATTGTAAAACAGCAAACCAAGTACAAAATTCTCTACACTAAATAAGCGTTTGGGGAAAGTGTATAAGGGTACACCTTTCCATAAGTTGATACACTTATCTAATGGATCATATAATTAATACAACACAATTACCATATCTCAAAATATTAATCCAAAATTCGCAAAACAGTGACCCAAAATTAAATTGTTAAAGCCAAATGTCTAATGGGAGAAAAACTATCTGATGTAGTAGGGATTAATAGAACAGTTTTATACAAAAGAGTTGTCCCTAATTTCTTGAAGCATGCAGTGTTCATATTTATTCGTCGAAAATATACGCATCCTCATGCCAAAATTTTACAAATAAAATTTCTCATATGCGTGGTAAACTTGAGCGTTTTGATTTAAATTTGCTTTCGTTAAATTTTACACTAAGTGTATTTAAAAAGTTTTATGGTTTCGCTATCACTTACCTTTTTGGCGTATCCTTTGATTGAAATCCAAAAAGATTTTCACTGACACTGTAAAGTAGAGTCGCACTTTACGTTTTCGCGCACTTCAGTTGAACTAATCAAGTCTATGAGATCTGTGCTTTCCGAAGTTGATCCAACTACTGATCTATATTTTTTCCTAAGTTCATTGCTACCTTGTCGTGGGTCAGTTGACAACCACCGAATGATTGGTGTTTTTAAAAACCGGGAGTATACATTCCGATGGATCGTGGGAATTTAGACTGCGTCCCCACCACTCCTCGGGCGCCGCATGGTCAGGGTGTCCTTCTCTGGCCACAGTGGGGTAAACCGTACCATGTGAAATATCTTCACAGGCAGTCGACGTTCCCACGGACTGAGCTGAGGTGTATTATAGTGAGACATGGGAAATAACTGTTAATATGTTCTTCAGGTTATAGGCCATGGGCGTCCCGAGTATCCCCCTGCAAGCTTATGAGGTGATGGTGTTGGGTGATCGATTGTTTTGGTTCAAAATATAAGTAACGAGAATCGTTGCAGAGTAGGAATTAATTGATTTGCGGTGGTTATCTTTAGAGTGAGTGGAAATTACAGGTCTCGTGAAGAAGAAATATTTACTGTAAATTTTTTAAATAGTAAATGTTCTAAAAGTTTGAAGACATCCATAAAAACTGGAAGCATTTTCTCTTAAAGTTTTAAAAATTGGGATAAGATTTAGATAATTGATAAGATGGGAACTGTAATTTCCTTGAAATTAATGAAAATGTTGAATACAAAAATTGAAAATTTAATCAAATAGTGTCAGTTTTTATTAAAACAATTCTATTTAACCAAAAATCTCACATCGAAGAAAGCAGACAAATAAAAAATATACATCCTTATACAGGGTGTTTCAGAAAGACCTCCCGTAAATACAGGGGGTGACAGAATATGAATTTTTTGTCTTATGAACCATATGACTATCTCCTCTTGTTTTCGAGATATTGAGCGACAAAATAAAATTTTTACGAAAATTTCTAAACGGTGCGAAATATTTTTATGAAATTTGGTATTCCGGGGTTTTTAATGATACCAAATACATTGGTCTAATTATTTTTTGGCTATTTCATAGAGGGCACTAGTTATGCTATATTTTTATTACATTTTAAGTTCCATTTTTTTTTAAGATTAGGTTTTTTACCATTGGGGCTCTAATTTCTAATGTACCACTTTATTTTCTAATAATAGCCCAGTCATTATAGACATGAAAGAGCCTCTTTCGGGAAAAAAATACTATTAGAAGTTTCTCTGCGGAATATTGTTCGGAAACCTGTTATAAATAAAATATCAAAAAATCAACTCGAGGCTAGTTGGGAAACTTTGTTTTAACAGTGGCCAAAGTTATGGAAAAGTGGTTTTTTGACTCGCGTAAAAAACATTTATAGAGAAAAAAGATTTATACAAAAAAGGTAGGTATTAAATAAATCTGTAAAATAAGACAAGTCCGATTAAAATCCGATAATTTGTTTATGCGGAAGAGGTTAACAATGGTCAAAAATGTCCGCTTTTTTCAATTGCTAATAATTAATACAATTTTCATCGCAGTCACATATAATTCAGGATTTTGAGCCTTTTTGCACCCTTAATAAATGGTAAAAACTTCAGCCCGAAAGCTCCATTGGTTTGGCGTTGGCGGAATTTTTTTATCTAAGAAGATGCTATATTCAATTCGTTTTTCCCAATCTCACAGGCGTTGTAGGGTTTCGATCATTAGTTGTTTTTGTACTTACATAGTTGTATTGACATATGCATTTACTGAGAATTTAGTTTTTCAAATTTAATTTGTTTAAAAATGTCTGAAAATAAGTTAATATTTATTAAATTGTTAAGATAGGTAATTAATAAAGTAGTAACCTCTATAATTTAGTTTTCTTCGAATTAAAAAAAAATTGTTGTACATAAGTTGAATAGAAGCTGAGATAATTTTTTTTATTTAATCGCAGTGACCTTTATTATTAATATTAAGAGCCGAAATTTGGAGAGAGTATACATTAAGAGCTATATTTTCATGTCCTACATTAACATTAAGGTGAATTCAACTATTTAATTGCGAAAAAGAAGATAGCGGCGATGCGTTCTATTACTTGGTCTAGCAAACGAGTGGCGAGAGCGAGGCGGAGCATGCGCGCTTAACAATTTAATAAATATTAACATTTTTTCAAAGTCATTTTTAAACAAATTAAATTTGAAAAATTAAATTGTCAGTAAATGCATATTTAGGTACAAAAACAACTAATGATCGAAACCCTACAACACCTGTGAGCTTGGGAAAAATGAATTGAAAATAGCATCTTCTTAGATAACAAATTCGGCCAACGCCAAGCTAATGAAGCTTTTGGGTTGAAATTTTTACTACTTATTAAGGGTGCAAAAAGCCTCAAAAATTCTGAATTACAAGTATCTGCGATGAAAATTGTATTAATTTATTAGCAATTGAAAAAAGCGGACAATTTCGACCATTTTTGAGTTCTTGCGCATAAACAAATTATCGGAATTTATTCGGACTTGTCTTATTTTACAGATTTATTGAATACCTACCTTTTTTTGTATAAACCCTTTTTCTCTATGAATAGCAGTTATTTTACGCGAATCAAAAAACCACTTTTCCATAATTTTGACCATTGTTTTAACAAAGTTTCCCAACTAGTCTCGAGTTGATTTTTTGATATTTTGTTTATAACACGTTTCTGAACAACATGAATAACATGATTTTATAGTGCCTTTTTTATCTCCCGAATGCTTAAATATTGTTGTGATGATGAATGATGAACAGGTACCCGACCTAACTAACCCTTACTACTGTCTACCTTTGCGGGTACCGTACGCCTTTGCCTTTCATCTTCAGAGTCGTGTGGCACAGAACGGATACGGATTTTACTTTTATGCTTTTTTAAGAGAGAAAGAGACAGAAAACGCACTCGATCTTGAGAACTTGTGGGTGGATGTTTGTCCAGCGATTATAAGCGGATTGTTAACCACTTTCTTTTATGGGGTTTTGTGAATACTAAACAATAGACGACGGGCGTTGTTGCACTCTTCATATACAGATATAATGCTTGAATGTTTGTTTTACTAATTAGATATTGAATTCAATACAAGACTTTTACTATATTTTTAGCCATAAACAGAACATTGTTTAAGTACTACCACGATCGCGCTTCAACCAGTTACGGCAAAATAAATCAAAGCTAAGTAAGATAAATCTTGTTGTTCTTGTTATTGTATTATTGTTGCATTATGCTTCTAAACCGCGACCTGCCCTAAATTTTATGTATCCAGTTAAGCCAGACACATTTCAAATAGTTTAATTAGTCGAGATACACGACCGGTAGCTTTTATATGGGTCGTAAAAACCGGAGTCTGAATAAACTTGTAATTAATTGTTAAATTTATTATCTTTAAAGGCACTTAGGTTGCTAGACAAATAGCCCCACTTATTTGACTACATGTTAACTTGAGTGTTTGATAATAAAGCGCGAAGTAGATAAACATTTATTTTGGTAAATAAAAGCGTACGAACCCGATAAAAAGCGTGGGAAAGTCGGGTGGTTCGGCAGGAACGACGCGCGCGCGTCTCTGCGCTGGGGGGAGGTTGATCGAAGATTGTTGATGTAGTCAGACTGTATTTTTATAATTATAGTGTATACGGGGTGTTTCATAAGTAAGTAATTTGTTAAATCAACGTTGTTTTCTATGGCCGTCGTTTTTTAGCTTTGATGTGTCCAAAATTGAGATACTTTTAACACATCTGGTATATACTTTAGTACAGGGGTCGGCAAGTAATTTTAGGTGGGGTCCGGATACTTTTAAAAATTTTTAACGAGGTCCAAAAAAAAATTCATATTTCTTACAAATTTTCATTTGCACTCAAATTTAATCTGCTTACCAACCATTAAGAACTCAAAACACTCACACAATTGTAAAATACTAGAAAAAATGATAAGGTTGGCACTCAAACGTAAAAAAAACATTTTTTAAATAATTTATTTGAGTATTTATACTTTCAAAAAATTTTTGGCGGTCCANTTCTAATCAAATGAATTCAAACCAATTTCTGCGATACTAGGAATATGGGTATGAAAAAGATATCTAGCCCCACAGACAACTGCTGATATTGCGGAGACAACTGCAATATGGATAAGATGCAACGACTAGCACTGAATTGCGTCAATAATATCTAGTAGACAGCTAGTAGTAAATAATTATGCAAAATGGAAACTAAAAGATGTATCTAAGTGTAATTAATACAAGAACACTTACCTGATATCTTCAAATTGTTAAAACATGCAATCGTTCAAAGAAACATTTTGTATTCTTGCTGTCCTATTGTCATCCGTGACAAAGACTGATCACATGAAAAATAGCTACTAAAAACAGTTTGAAGTCATCACATACAAGTGAGAATTTGTTACAAGATTGTCACAAATATCATTAATGAACATATTGAATATCAGCGGGTCTAGAATTGAACCATGAGGTACTCCCGAAGTAGCAACAATTTCAGTCGATATAAAACGTCGACATTGAACTTTCGACATGCCAAAATTTGATGAAAGTGGTTTTAATAAAATTTTTATCACCTTTCTTAAATATAGGGCAAATCTTAGCTTTAATCTAAATACATATTATAATAGTCCAAGCATTATAGAGAAGTGTTTACAGTTATTACGTGGAAAAAAAATATGACCGTATAGGAAATTAAATTTTAAATTGAGTTTCATGCTCTTTAAACTCGATCTAAAATGTTGAACATGATCAAAAAGGTTCTCAAAGTTGTAAAAAACGGTTTTTGTAAAATAACTAAAAAAATATAGCTCCTATCGAAATATTTTAACTGAGAAAGTTGTTGGTTTTCAAAAGATTTATCGAAGTATCGATTGTTTTGTTACATTTCGAAATATATCGAAAAAACCGATAAAAATCTTATCTTTTGTCTTCTTCAGAAGGTCATAGAAAAACATTTTTTTTTTATTCGTGAAAAAATGTCAACAATTTCTTTCTATAAAAGTTGTTGTCATAAAGTA